ACAAGTGACTGAATTAAAAGATGAACCGAAAGAAATAATAAACAAATAACTTTGGAAATGTAATAATAATAATAATTTACTAAAAGTAACCTGCATTCATGTTAAGAAATGTTTTTAAAATGTATTCATACTTCATAATCCTTCTGAGCTCTAAAAATTACAAGTCTGAGTAGGTCTTAGTTTCATTTTGTAAGAGATCATGCAAAGTCGCTGGTAAAGCAAACGATTTGCGTCGCTAAAAAAACATTCGACATTCAAAAGTACTTGTAAAATAGAACTTTGTATGGAAAAAACGTTTGCTACTAAAAATCTCATGTTAAGATTAGAAAAAAAAGCAGTTTGTTGAACGATAAGGACGTCACTTATCGTCGACATCCTGATTATTTTACCCACAAATTTCGTGGGCTCGAATCAACACTAGATTTTTATCTACGACGTGAATTCAGATAGGAGCATGTTTCAACTTATCAATAGAGAGGAGCGTCTTAACACGAGATAGTATCTATGTGCATAGCATTATGATGAAACATTGTTGATCATTTCGCAACGAATGGTGTTTTATGTCTTTATGATTGTAACGGATAAGTGGTGTAATAGAGGTCGTAGACAAGCTCACTTTTAAGTGATTTGATACCTATTAAATTACCGAATTTAAAAATATAAACCGCTGCGTCTTCGACAGAAGACTTGTACTTCAGTTTTTCGAAAATCAGATGGAAGAAATAGATGCTTAAGAAATTAAAAGTTTAATAATGATGATGATCAATAGATATGAGGACGAAGAAAAACATCGTGATGCAATCTGCACATACATCATGATCAGCCTTCATCTGCTAGTGAGCAGTTGAAGGCTGATGATCCAGTAGTGGCTGAATATAGGCACATTCATATCTGCAAAGAAATTCAAAGATATGTGTGAAATCCATCATCTTATATAAGTTTAAACTGTGGTGGCTTCGTGTAACTTTTTTTTTCACACTATCACCTAACTTCAGTCAGCCCGTGAACATGGCGCATGCAACTGTGCCGAAATATCGGGGGCTAAAACAATTCAATCGTGGTAAGAAACCCATATCTTACGAAGATTACATCCATTATCTTATTAAGCCAGCGCGAGTGACTATGATCGTGTCACCCTTAACTTTGGGCTCCGTACCCCTCAGTGGCGACATACTGATCTGGTGATGAGGTAAAAAGAGACGGTTTAAAGTTAAAAGCAATTTTAATGACAAGAACCGAAGTTGAAATTGTGCTCTTTCATAATTCTTTGAGACCGGAATCTCATGTGTACATAAGCGCTGGCATTCGTCGGCTGTTTGTGAAGAGAGTTAATAATATTTTTGTTTCTGCTACAAAACGTATAAATATCGAACGTGACGCATACAGACAGACGGTATCATCTTTGAGATTTGATTCTCGGAAATACTATTGACACTGATCGACTTTAAAAGGTACCAACATATTTTCATCTTGCGTTCACATCAACATCCTTACCGCGAAATGATAACGGAAAATCCAGTCTAATATTAGTTGTTGCGTTATACTCGTATATTTTGTAGATTTCTCACCGGTCTTTTATAGTAAAAATGCTTTAAATTCACAGTTTTGATAGTAGAAAATAAATCGTTTATTATTTTCCATATACAAATGATTGCAAAGCTATAGAGACACGACTGCGAGAACTATTTGTGTGCGGTTTGCTGATTGATGTGGCCTCAAGCGTGTTATACTAGTTCTCACATTTTGTACACCTCTATAAAACAAATCTTCATTTTAACGCGTAATCTATATCTATACTTCTATACCAATATAAAAAACACACACTACTTTGTAGCGTAGGATGCCAGCGATTGCAGCATATTTTTGAATAACCTTTCTTTAAAAAAAACCCTATACTTACGACACGCTATAGACTATACATTTTCACGATATTAAAGTAAGGGGGTAAACAAATTTGAGAAAAAAATTCATGTGGAAAAGGAACCATAAACATAAACTACAAGCTGCCAACATTAAGGAAGCAAAGTTATTATGGTAACAGTAATTTTGACATTTACAATTGAGAATTTGACAAATGAAAACAATGAAATAAAGTTTTTATAATTTCGGATGAGGTCGTACGGGAACAGCTAGTAAAATAAAAATAGAGAAGATAGATAGAGAGGAAATGGCATAGATTTACCTTTTATTATTTCCAATAATCGATGTGTATGAGAAAGATTAATGGAAATAAAAATATCAATGAACAAACACAAGAGGGAAGCGATGCAATGTGCACGTCGGACGATTGCCATGCGCTCCCGTTCAAACTTTAATTACTGATGCCCACTCGTAATTACGATGCAGCTCACCCACAAACAGTTTCAGTTACATCTCATATCTAGATAACGAAGACAAATTGATATTAACTATGACGCATAACGAATTCTGTCGCACATTAAAGTGGTCGTACAGAGCTCGCGGTAACTATTGCTTTCCTGCTGAAGTCAACGATGTCTGTACACCCTATATTCGCTAATTTACTTGTTACCGGCTCCATTCCGACTCCAGTCCGAGTCCGTGAACGCGAGTTAGCTGCTACAATCTAATTTTTACCGGCCATCCCAAACCGCATGGTAATCCAGTTGAAAATGCTCCAGCGACTCTGCTCTTTATTTTTAGTCGGAGCAAACTCTTTTAAAGCAACGGCACGACGTCCACTTTGAAATAGAATAGATTTTATTTTGTTCTAATGCAATGTATTAGTTGGCATCCTTTGAATTTTGATTCTGACATATTGTAATAGCTTGTAGCAGTCTTTCATTTACAACGTAATTTGTTTCTCATATTACGATTTTACAATCTTTTGGTTTTTTATTTTTATTAAGTTAGTGATGTCCATGATGTGTGATCATGCTGATGATGATGATGATGTCAGTGGAGTTAACTTGTATAGTGTCAAACCAATGTCCCGTCTCAAATTATTTTCATCACATCTTCGTCATTCATCATAGTTTTATCACCTATTCAAAGTAGCTAAAAACACTTGACTCATAACTGACTTTGTATTATTATACACTATTAATTATACGTTATTTATATTTATTATTAATGGATATCTCAAGCGATTAAAAGGTAAAATTGAATATTAATCATATTTTATTGCCAAAACTAATACGCATTCGTCTACTGCCCTTTTGGCACGTCTAACGAGAGTATATATTTCTTTGTGGGATCGGACGGCGTTCAAAGGAAAACTATATTATTAACACGCGAGCTAATCCCTAGGGCCGTTAGAAGCAACGAGATCTATCATGAATGCCAAAAATAATGCCTTTAACTCAAAGGATCTACATTGGCCTGGCATCTCAACGCACTACTCTAGATGCCTCATCAAAATAATTTATTCGCACTTGTCATATAACAAGCATTATAAATTGAAGTATTCCTAATGTCTTGTGAAAAGGTTAATAAAATATGACGTACTAAGGTACAAATTGTACGATTAAATTTAATGTTAGAGATTAAGAAGGTCACAGAAGTGACGACATTTTGTCAGGTAATCGGATTACACGCGAAATAAGTCCCCGACATTCAAACGTTTTTGTTTTTTCAGCCGGCTTAGACTCGAAAGGTGATTCCCGATTCAATTTGTGACTTTGCGCTCTTACAACTTGTTTAGGGTAAATATATTTTTAAAGAATTATACGCTCGAGTCGATGTTAGTTTTATGAGCTTTTATGTTGTTTTATCCTCTTCGTTTACATGAAAATTTTATTGGTTAAGTATTATTCGTGATTTTTAGGAATATATCACGTGGAAAATGAACACTATCCTCGTTTTTATTTACAAATAAATATTACATTCACCAAGTTCAAACCATACATATTAAATATCCCTAGAGAGAGCCCTACATCATAAATACGTTTTAGAGTTTTTTCCAACTTTTTGAATAACTAAAAAGTTTACTACGAGTGTGCCCATCACTTTTTAATTAAGCGAACACGCTCCTGCCTATGCCTATTTACACATTTTGAAAATATACTCATTATTGGGTACATGAAAAAGATCAAACTAAATCCCGTCACGACTCGATAGTTAAGAAATCCCGCTAGCAAACTGTCATGTAGCAAAAGCTAGCAAATGTAATAAATAACAATAGACATTACACGAAGTCGAGGCGACCGGTCGCTGCGAGTGGCCGCGCGTAGCATTTTGTTACACATAATCGGATTAGGGGCGAGAGTCCGGTGGCGCGCGGCGTGTGCGCCTTGTACGTCGCGTCGTCCGCATACAAATACATCCCGACAAGATTTAAGCACATGTTATTTACCTAAGAGACACGACTGACTCGTCTACGTTATTCATTCCTGAAGAGAAAAACTCACTCCCTCTTGAAATTTTTCCAGACGTCGAATCGAAACTTTATATACGCAAATTTGGTACTCACTCTTATAGATACTATATGCATTAAAAGAGAGCGAGGGCGGGGGCGGCCTGAGCCCGCAAATTTCCATTACACGGATCACTTGGCTCGCGCTCAGGTTCACCGGCTAAACCCTTCCTGAATCTTCCGCGATTACACTCATATCTTCCTTTAAAATTTAGCGACGTTTCACTTTAACAAAATGACACCAATTATTATGATACGCAGGCACAGTAATACAAGAAAAACATAGTAAAAAAAGGTGCAATAAACACTAAAATACACAATTATATTAACTAAGTGACAATTAGAATTGAAATAAAAAATCGTGCTCTTAATGTAATCATGCATAGCGTGACATCGACCGTTAGACGCTTTACTATCTAGTTCTAGTGCAAGCTCCTATGTAGTACATTTGAGGTGTGAAGCGGCTAGTCTACGTGAGGAATGCTCCGGGTGGCTCCCGGGAAAGATGTATTTGTGCGTGATGTCCCGCGCGGCGCGTAACGCCGACGGACGCGAGCGGTACAATCGACAAAATATTTCTCTCCGGAATCACGTCGGGCATACTGTATAAATGGAGTGCCTCACTTACCAAACTTCAGAAGATGGCAACTAAGGTGCTCCACCACAATTACCGCTTGCGTAACCCTGGGAAAAATATTTTCTCCGTGAATCTAACGTGTAAGTTAATCTTATTACAGTGGTTGCACTTAAAACATAGCATCAAAATGTATATGGTAGGTACATATTAATTACTCAGTGAATCGTTACGGTGTTGTACCTTACATCTAGCATGCTTTCTGTTTAAACTAATGCTCGGTGTAAAGTTTCTCGGGACTCTAGTAACAGGTTTGATGGGACGGTATACCATTTACATACGGGAAATATTGTACTACATCATTTTTATAATTTAAATTAAAAAATAACACTAGTACCGCTAGCCGGTGCTAACTATAAAAATAAAATCTATATCTAAATCACAGTATTATTAAATATCTAAATACACGTGTCTACCACACAAACGGAGCAATGGATTGCTAATCGGTTACATTGCTGCTCAGGTATACAAAGTAAACGAGTACAGAGTTACAGTAATAAGACTTACTTATATCTACAAAACAGTGAACTAGAAATATATTCTGTATTGCCTTTGTTACCGTAATTTGTACTAAGTAGGAGAAATATCCACCTGCAAAAAATATTCTATAGTTAATTCCAATTAGATAACACAATTAGTTTATCCGGCAACCGTACAGATAAACTTACCATAATTATATTATCTATAAACACTCGAGTGTTTACAAATTAATCTTATTATCGACAGATAAGACAGGAAAAGAATCTTTGGTTAATCCGAAATAATTCACGTTTACCTTCGGAATGTTTTGTCACGTGTTCTATGAGACTGATGACATTTTTGATTACGCAAAATTTAAATAGAGAAACCAATAATACTCAAAGTTATTATAAACTTCAAAATTAAAACAAAGTTACAAAAATTTTAAATTATATAAACGAATCTACAACTTCATGTTTTGCACACCGTACCTTTACTACGTAAAGTTTAACAAACTTGGTTACGTAGCCAGATAATATCATTTCAAAGGTTTTTATTTAATAAATATTTCTTCATTCATAGAAAATAAATACCTATATAATATTTTTAACTGGCAATACAACATTTTGCAACCTTAGGAATAATCTTTATTGCGAAATAAACAATTCGAATTCTCACACAGTACGCGTTTTACCCAAATAAATTGTAGGAAACAAATGTTTAAGAAATACTCATGATTTACCTTTCATTGTTATAGATAAATCAGTTTTTTTCTACGCTTACTTGAGTTTGTTTACTTATCTCCAGATAAATTGGCTAAATCTCTGGAATAAAGCTTTTATGTAAACACTTATTTAGAGTGCGCCATTGAACGAGTCAACAAATCTGACATATTTCTTCATAAAATACAAGAATCACAATTTTCGCATCGCTCTAGATTTACATTTTCATAATGATGTCAATAAAACAACAAAACCGACTTCCAAACAAAATACACGAAAAACAAAACAAAATGCACTAAAAACAAAACAAAATAAACTAAAAACAAAATATTCTCAAAAAAAAAAACAGTACACTAAAAAGTAACGAAATAATTCCTTGAAAATAGTAAACCTACCTTATTGTAAGTGT